AAAATAAAAAATATTTTGTTTTTTCTATCGCGTCTTTCTTTTGAGTAGATACCGCATTTGAATATATTTTAACGATTTCCGTGAATTAATTAGCGTTAATTAGCTTGTCTTCAACTACGGCCCCTTTTATAGTATCGATTTATTGTTAACCGTAAAAACTTTTGTATGTGATTTTGCTTTGACCACGTTAGTTTAAACAAAAAAAAAGTAGCAAATAAAAAGACACTTTGGGTGTTACAATAAAAAGTACTATGGAAAATGGAAATGAATATTATATTGAGAAAAACAAAGACAAACATTCAAAGAATCGCCTAAAACTTAAATTATTCTGTTTGAAAATACTTCTTACTAAAGCAATAAAGTTGAAATTATCATAAGTAGGTTTAAGTGAATTAAATTGACACAATAACTTAAATAACGTAAATTAAACTCAAAGATAAAGAGATATTATAGACCAAAATTCTGTTTGATCTGCAATAAAAAAGGTTGAAGGTATTCTTTTATATTAGTTCGTTAGCTAAAGTCTTAGACTTAATAGAAATACTTCATTGAGAATAATGTTACATGGTATAATAGACTAAAAATTCAAAAACGCACGCAGCATTTCAGATTGTGGGAGTTAAAGAAACGCATATATGAAAAGTTTGAGCGTCAAATGCAGAGTCAACAGGTTATCAAAATTTTGATATCAGCAGAAAAAAAAATATTTACTGAGATTTGCAGTTTTATATATATACTAATATGCTAATTGTAAGAGCAGAAGAATAAGATTATTTAGGTCAGTTATTAAAAGTGTAAGTTTTCAACGGGGTTGGAAAGAAAACAGGTGAAAAATATTTACAAAATATGAATAAAATGGGCATAGAAATACACCGGACTCTATAATAGGAAGGGAAAGCAAATGTGGGAAGATGGTGGAAGAAATAACAAAAAGGGTAGTAAATTAACATATATTAGCAAGGTACAGAAAGGGGAATGAATGTGAAGGATGCAAGTATTAGATGAAAGACGAAAAAAGAAGATGCGGAAAGTGTGGAATGTAACAGAAAACAATGATGAGGGGGTGTACAGAAAACAATGTAAAAGAGGAGTACGAAAAGATGATGGAGGTAAACGAAAATACTTTTATCTTATTCAAAGAAATAATACAGAAAAGAATGTAATATAAAACGGAAATATAAAATAGGGGATACATAAGCATTATGGCTTTTAGGATTGAAAAATATAATGTTAAATTTTTGAAAGTATTTAGCGGGCGACTTGAATATTTGTGAAGGCAGCATAAGATGAATATAAGGACAATAACTTGTAGAAAAAATAACTTATGTTATCTACAATAAGAAATCTTTCCAATTTCAGAGTTTAGGGCAAACATGCTTACGTTTTTCGTGCATAAAATATAAAAACTTCTTTACTAGGAAACATCATAATAATTACTGTGTTTAATGCTCGCCAAATCAAAAAGAATATGTTGTAGCCATTAAAAGAAGGAAAGGCGACAAGATTTTGACCCCCAACAGGGATCTTTATAAATACGTAGAAAGATAAAAAAAATACTCTTTTGATGAGCATTAATACTTGAAGATAGACAATATACATTTAATATAGCTCGCCTTTTTACCTTTGATAAAGATTGACTAAACTGAATATCTTTCACTAGAATATCTAAAAATCATAATTATTTGTGGTTTTAGTTATATCGATCACAAGGGAGTACTGCAAAATATTTTAAATATGTAATGTGGGAACGTAAAATCTATGATATGAGAATTACGAAATTAAGTTGTAATCATATTTATTTCAGTTTTTCTGTGTTAACTGAGTGGTTTTGAGTCGCAAAAAACCTAAATATTATGGTTGTGATTACTGATTCCAAAAACTTTAAGTGATATTAAATAAGTACTACTTGGGAAATACAGGAACATCAAAATATAAAAATTCCTATTTAGAATTAAACTGCAGAGTTTGTGGAAAATGTTACTTGAAACGCTATAATCATCGAAAAGCTCTATCTCCAATTGTGGAAAACTCAAGAGAAAGCTTTGAAAGAATCAGGATCATACAATCAAGTCCATTTTTTCTCAGTGGTACTAATATACGTGTACAAGTATAAAGAATTAGCTGGGACCAAATAAGGGGCTTACAGCCACCCCTCCTATATTATCCAACCCTTTATGAAACAAAAAAATTTATTACTCTACCAAATCATAGTTTGCAATGTTTACAAAATTCAGCTCATTAAAATGTATTTTCATCTCATTAGCACCCCTTGGCATCGATATTTACATACGTATCAATATTTATTTTCACCTGTGTCTGTAATCATTAGCTTTTGAATTAAATAATGAATGAAACTAAAGTTACCTGACAACAGCACTCGTGAGTTATTAAGGAAGTTATATCCCTGTATCTCCAAAGTGCTATTTTTTCCGCATTTTCTGTTAGTCAAGAAGCTTTCTCCTACCGGACAGCACTTTCGGATGCATTGATATCCATATTCGTATGTATCGTTTCTGCATTTCCCGAAGTCCTTTTCACACACTTTCAGTATATATTTATCGGATCCGTATTTTTTATCAAAGCAATACTTTCCCCAAGAATATTCACCACCCGCCCATTCAACAGTCATATCACGTTTTAAAGGAACTTTATCCAAACTGTCCAGTACATGATCTGTAACAACTGCATCGCATCCAGACAGTCCAATTTTTATGAAAAACGACTTTTCCTTTTCAAAAATATATTCTTTTTCGGCCCTACAAGCGCCAAACTGAGTGTCATACGAATGCCTGGCATCGCAACATTTGGGAAGAACAACTGCCTCGCTTATTGATGAAGACGATCCATTGCAAGAGTACTTCACCAATTGTTCATTTTTATCATGGGAAACTTGGTAATCGATGCATTCTTCTAATTGAGAACAAGTATCAAGAAAGTTATTAGTGCTTGTATAATTTGAAATAAAATATTTAGTCCTCCAATAAGACTCCTTGGCTCCATCACAGTCGATTTTCGTTCCATTTTGAGATTCAGCAGCATTAATAGCTTCGTCTGGAGCGCAACATTTCGGTAAATTTATTTCGTGGCCATAATTGCTGAAGAAGGCGCTGGAATGGTGCCACATTAAGAATCCGTTAACTAACAATACTTGATGAACGAAACGGCCCATCATCGCCAGTTTTCTTGTTAGTCGATCAACCACAATATACACACTAAATACCGAAGCCGAAACTGAATGAGAAATATCGCGCAAAGTTAGAAAGTTACGCTTCAGCTAGCAGACCGACTATGAGTGAATCGAAGAGTGGGAGTTGTTAACATTAGCCGAAGATGCACGCACTTGAGGCAATTTTAACATACTTAAATCACTTAATAAACTTTAGGTAATACCGGAATATAAAAGGTCTCTAGGTTAAGGCCGTGCGCCAAAAACATCGGCAATTCCGCCGACGTCAAGTTCAATTACAACAATGGTACGAAAAATTACATCTTTATCTAATTTATAATTAATTATGTCACAAAAACTAATTTAAGCTTAATGCCCAATGGGTAGTTTACTTGTTTATAGGTGTAAGTAGGTAGGTACTTGATAGGCACCTAATTCTAGATCGCATAAATAAGTAGCAGTACATGTCTAATTCTTAGTTTAGTTTAGTGGCAAAATTAAGTTCATTGTCTTTGTTTACTGTTTATTAACATTCATTTAAAATTTAAAGTATTCCCTTTTTCGATTCTTATTTATATGGGACTAATGCACAAAAAGTTCATGTTTTTATTATTTCAAAATATACAGAATCTTAATCGTCTAATCATCTCATATAATTTATTTATACACTAAGAGAGTTTAACTAGACTGTGATGATAAGCATAATTTCAAAAAGTACTTCGTGTATTTTCAATTGACAACCAAACTTTCAATGACCTCTGCTGAAAACTAAAAAAAACGCCAAATGTGGATTTATTTTATAGTAATGTTTCCGTAATTATTATTATATTTTATACTTGCATATTCTCAATTATTTACTTCCACTTAACGAATGAGCATCTACCTACAATAAATTAAAAAGCGCAACTTCTTGAGCGCAACTATTATTAACTAATATACCACTTTGATGCTAACTTTACATTAACGTTTTGTTTATATACTAAACAAATGTAAAACGAATATCTAAAGCAGTTAATTAAAAATTGTATTATGTCGGAAAAATTAACAGAAATTATTTAAAATATTTTTTGTTTTAAAAAATAGTGTATTACATGTAATGCGTAACTGCATCTATAGTTGCCTATACTAAATCCAGTTTACATGCTTAAAGTTTCTGTGTTATTCCAGCATTGAAATCCTATGATAATATAAATCTTTAATTCATTGTTTTGAGCCATTTTTACAATTAAATATGCATTTTGCAACTAACACTAGTGCTTGTTAAATAAACACGTAAACATAATTCATTATTTTCAATAAACGTACGAAAAGTCGTATGTAGTGGAATATTAGGATTACAAATCAAAAATTAAGAAATAGTAGAAGACAGGATAAAACAATTTCTTACAACAAAAGATTTTTAGTTGTAATGTTTATAAGTATACAGTGTAATAGAGAAGCTTTTGAGAGGAAATTTCCTAACAAATAAATTAATTTGTTTCAGTATTACTATTATCATTTTCTTTTTCAAAAAGAATTTATTGATTTAATAAAACTTCCCAAAATTTACAGGCAACCAACAAAGCACTTGCTTTTAAAATTGTTAGCAATATGATAGTTTTTGCATAAAACATAAATTATATGGTAAATTGTAATTTTAGACATGTTTTAAAGCGTTCAAAATAATATACGAAGAAAAAAAGTGATTGTTTGATATATTTGCTTTCTGAATAATATAAAAATTTATTTTGATAACCTAGTTTAAGATATTATCAAATATTATTAAAAGCCAACAAATTACCAATAAGTATCTAATATTTTTGTAATAATATTATACTACGAAGAAAACTTGTAAAAAGTTTTGGAAAGGTGGTTAAATGAATACGTGTTTTAAATGACTCCAAATAAATAGGAAAAAGAAGAACTACCAGGAAGCTCAACAGGGATTGGTGCTATAAAAAAAGAATAAACAAACAGTTATTACTTGTCGTCTGTCATATCGTATCAACCATATCAGTAATACTATCTTTTGCACAGTGTAAACAAAACTTAAGTGTTGACAGTCGTAATATCATGACACAAATACAATAAATAATAGCAACAACCATTTGTAGATTACAGTTACCCAGTGGTTTTGCTTATGTGCTAATGGCTTACATTGTACCTTGATCGTAGTGTGGTAACTAGAAATGCCAAAATCCATTTGTGTGTTGTTTCCGTAGTTTGATTTCTAAATAAAGTTTAAATAACCGATCAAATAAGTAGATCAGAAGTGGCTTTTGTATTGTAATAGATTAAGTAAAAAGAGCCGTTATTATGTTACCGGCAACAGAATTGTGTTACATGCTCAACATCAGTGTGTATTTAAATGTTGAAAGACCATTTATGGATTCTTGTGATGAAAATAAAAAAAGAACTATTTGTACTTATCTGTGACAAAAGTCGTGTCGTTAGTTTTTAAGAAAGCTCAAATGATGGCAAATTCAATCAGGAGAAGTTCAAGAAGACGTATTGCAGCCATTAACTTCTTGTCAAATATTTCATTAGATGGTACTCAACCTGACTCAAAATCGACTTTTATTCCTAATAATGGAACACTTATTAAAAATGGAAAGAACAGTAAACCAGAAGGAATTGAAGAAGAATCTGATGACTTCAGTGACACAGAGAATTTATGTTTAAAATCTAAACGTAGTTTCAGGGATGTTAAGAAGAGAATTCAGAAAATGAAATATAGTCATGATGCCCATTCTTTAAGCTCAGACTCAGAGGGTGTTGTGACTCCAATCAAATACTATATTGAGGAATCAACTTCCAGAACAAAAGGAAGAAAGACACTACGTGAACGGTAATATAAAACATTTAATTAAATCAGACTCAGTTTAATGGAATATTTAGAAGTTAGAAGTAGAAGGAAAAAACAAAAGTAAAATAAGTATAGGTTTAGAAGAGATTGTCAAGTTTATGAGACAAAATAATGTGTTGCTTGGATTACTAATTACAAATAAGAACAAGCAAATTAAATAAATGCTGACAATTTAATTTAGACCATAATTTTAGATTAACACAAAATTCTGGTATATAAATTGTTATTATACATTTAAGAGCAAGTCAAGGAAAATCTGCATATAAAGATTATTTCTTATCTAATTAAAATTACTTTTACTGTTTTAAACTCTAAACTAACGTCACTATCTCTATACCTATACCTACATTCCATTTCATATAAAAATGATGATAAAACATTGATATAATATATATGTACATTTTTAAGTACCTATGTACCTTATTAATAGAAAAGTGTTCTTACCTTAATTATTATATTGCTGGTGCATAGTCGACATTACAAAACATTAATTTAGTTTAGCGTTATAACAGAATAGTTCAATTACTAACTCTGAACCGTTTTTTAAGTGGTTAATTAGTACCAGTTCTAACCAGAACAAATGTAACTCGTAGTAAATGTTCTCAAGATTTATTTACACGTATTTCTGGTATTTCTTAACGTTTAGTTGAAGAAACTAAACCGAAAAAAATAAATTCAAAACGATTGTCCGACCTTCAATAAAGCACTTACATAAATATTTGTTAATTAAGTCGAAAAATAGTAAAACCCTTCATAGATTTTAAAGTATATCCAACTTAAGTCAGTATTTTTTACAGTACGTCGTCAATTAGTGAAACAGCCATTCAAGAAAAGAAAATCGTTCCTATAATCAAGAAAAGACTTTATCAACAAGCATCATTTGGAAGTGATGCAGAAAGAATGCATTGTGGAAGCAGTTCAGAAAGTATAGGACCATTTCCAGGTATTAGTTTTTCTTTAAAGATTTTGATAATTTTAATAATTATAAGTGACGATATTTGATTTTGCTTAGGGCGTACAAAAGTGAGTCCCGCTCCCGCAGTAATTCCAGAGGTTAACGGGGAACGCGAAATAAAAATAATTAAACCATCAAAAGATTACAAATTCAGGGGAGAACGGGTCGTACTTGTTACGAAAAATCATTCTCCGTTTTTAGTATGTTCCTTTATTCCATATTCGAAAAGCTATAAGTCAAGGTAAATATGCAGAAAAACGAAATATTTTTCGTATTGTCGAATTTATTTTTAGTTGTTATTTAATTATTGCAGGGCCGATGCAAGAAAGGAGGCCCATCGCAAACGTCACATATCTGGTTCGCGCCCCTTATCCGTAGGCGATGGTTTAGACCCCTTTGAAATGTTAGGCATCGAAAGAGCTCCAGATGATCAGGTATGAATACAAAATCATAATCAAGTTATATTAATAAAGTCCATGATAATATTTATTGTCATTAAGTTTTGTTGCCATATAAGGAAACGAATAACAGTAAACATAATGTGTAAAAGGAATAATTAACGAGTATACAATAGGTGTTATTTTATTTCACTTATTTAACAGTGGTGTGATAGGCTATTAAAAGGATGAAGTAATTACTACTGCGAAATACAGTAAACACTGGATAATGTGAACCGAGGAAAACAATAGTTTACGTTAACGAATGTTATATTTAATGTGTAATAAACTTTTATAATTAACAAAATAAACATGCATAAAAACGTAATTATAAACGTAGCTGAGGAATGAAACTTATATAATCCTAATTCGTTTCTATTAGCAAAGTTTTCTTCATAGTATACGGGGCCGAACATAATTAATAATAAGCTGCTCACATTATGCGAATTTTTGTTACGTGATGTTCACACTCTTGTACTTACATATAAGATAAATGTTTAGTATACCTAGTAATATAAAAATTTTTATAGTAAAACTTTTGAAAATGTATTTAGAATTCTTGTTTGATTATTTCTAAGCTTTTAAAAAATTCATAGCACCTTTTTTCTGTAGGAAATATCATATGGTAAATTGCTAGTACCAACAACGCGCACAGTAAAAGAATTGCGAGACCGACGTCATATTACGTTCGATGAGTATAGTGAATTATTGAAATACTCCCCAGGACATCATCACGTTGTTGCAAGGTAATAAAAACTTTTCTCATTAGTTCATTGCCGCTTATCTCACTTACCTTTTTTTACATTTACGTTTTCGTACCATTTATTGTTTAAAAAGGAATTTGCTTTATTTGTTTAATTGTCGTCCGTTTTCGATTATGTTTTATCATTTTTGTCATTTGCAGGACAAAAGTTTTAACCTGGCAACCAGATTATAAATGGTAAATGTTCTGTTTTATCATACATTCCATGTGTAGCTTTTGAGTAGATTTCATATCATCTTTTCATTCTTTAAAATGTGTTACCATTTTATATCTTTTCTTCGTTATGAGACCTCTTTGCTTTTGATGTGCATGCTGCTAAATTCAATGCTTTTGTTGATAAATCCATGTTTTCTGTTTACATGCAGTATTATTAAACTCAGTGTCAATGGGCTTTTGCAAGAAAAAGAAAATAATTAATAGGCAAATCCATTGTATCGTTTTATTGTTTTTTCTTGATGTTTTTACTGGAAATATTTCTGCTGCATTTTGTGTTGAAATGATTTATTTTTAATAAAATAATGTACAGGATTGTTAACTGTGTTGCTTTTGGAATGAATATCAACATAATTATTAATACACCTCTTAAAGTTTTATAATTGAATAAAACATTGTAGTTACAAGGCACACAAGGAAATTTAAATGTCGTGATTTATTCTAGTTTTAAATAAATATTAAAAAGCGAAATAATAGGTACTGTTATGGTGTGTTAATTTTATTGTTTATCACGCTCTTTCATTTCCTTTACAACGAACAACTCCATATAGGGCAAAATAATAGTGAAAACACTTATCTGTTAAAAGAACTCTTCTCTAGCTGATTCAAATAATACTAATAGCTCCTTCTATATGCTTTATCCACTTCATTATAGCTGCAGTTAGATTACAAACAATTAATGTAAGGAACGAATTCGATTTATTGGGATGTATATTTGTGTAAATATATTCTAATATGTATTAGTTTGAAATTAATGTAGAAATAGAATTTATTAATTCGGTGTTGCCTATGTACCTATTAATACTCTGCCATAGAAAGCATCTCAATTCTAATTTGGTAATTTTTAAAATTTTTTCCTTATTTTACCTTTAATTTTATAACTTTACTGTAGGTGCTTTTCTTACGATCACGGGTCACAAAGGAGTACGAGTCTCTTTGCAGCATCACCACCTGCAGATCCCAAAGATGAACTGACATCATTGGTTTATTCCCCAACACTCCTGGATGATCCCGAATTAATTGCGGGAAAGCACAGAACATTACTTACATTTACATCTTATATGACTTCAATTATTGATTACGTGAAACCGTCAGACTTAAAGAAGGAAATCAATGACAAATTTAAAGAACGTTTTCCGCATATTCAACTCACATTGAGTAAATTAAGAAGGTAAGAATTGTTACTACATTTTGAAGTAATAAATATTTAATCGTGTTTATTAGAAGCAATGCAGGCTTACTTTTAATGAATCATCGATTGTGATACCTATTATTTATATGTAACGGTAAATGAAAAACAAAAATTGTTTTGGTATTGTTTAGCGAGTTGTAATTGTATGAAATTACATTGACATTGGTCAGTTTTACTTTTTGCAAGATAAAATTGTGTTCCTTAAAATAACATAACAGAAACAACGAACTATATGACGAATTAACAGATAACATTTCCCTAATACACTACTTGCTGGCTTTTAACAATACATATAATTAAAACTAGCCTGGTAGAATTTAGGAAATTAATGTAGAACACTACATATGTTTTTTAATATTTTGATATGAAATCTTAACGATTATTTTTTTTTTCTTTATTTTATTTTTTTATTCTTTCCGCATTGTTATTAATGTTAATGATATTGTAGCTTGAAACGTGAAATGAAGAAAATAGCAAAGACCGAGTTTGGTCCAGAATTTTTAACAGTCGCCCAGGCATACGTCTACTTTGAAAAACTCATACTTCGCGGTTTGATCAACAAACAGAATCGAAAGCTGTGTGCAGCTGCAAGTTTACTTTTATCTGCAAAACTAAACGATTTTAAAGGCGAAACATTGAAAACATTGATTGAGCGGATGGAGAGCGTCTTTCGTCTCAACCGCAAGGACCTCTTCGCCTGGGAATTTGCCGTCTTAATAGCATTAGAGTTCAGCCTGCATATTCCAACATGGGAGGTATTTCCTCATTATCAGAGGCTCATCTACGAATCATGACAAGTGCTACTCTACCTTTGCATGTATGTAGCTTGCCGTTAACAGTTTTAATTTCTTTCTTCCAGATAAAATTTGCGTTTATTTTTTAATGATTTATTATTCACAAAAGAATATTAGTTTAGTTGTTATATGTGTGCGTATGTTCTACTACAAAAAAGAGGCAGTCAAACTGTAACAATTTTTTTCCGATTTATTTCAGTTAAACAGTAATACTCGGAAGTCCTTCACTATATGATAAAAACAAAATTTCTAGTGTGATTCATGATGTTAATGTTTTACCTTTAGTTTTAAATTACTCAGTGGTTTATCCCTTTTTTCTTTTGTTGAAAATGAACTCATTTTAATCGATTTTAATAATCACAGTATAAAAAATCGTTAAATAATTAACTAAATGCTACGCTTCTTTCATTGTGTTCACTTTATCTTTTACTCAGTAATAATATAATACTAATATGCAGTAATATTTAGCAAAATAGGATTTAAAAGTGCTTGGATAGTGAATTATTGAAATACTCCCCAGGACATCATCACGTTGTTGCAAGGTAATAAAAACTTTTCTCATTAGTTCATTGCCGCTTATCTCACTTACCTTTTTTTACATTTACGTTTTCGTACCATTTATTGTTTAAAAAGGAATTTGCTTTATTTGTTTAATTGTCGTCCGTTTTCGATTATGTTTTATCATTTTTGTCATTTGCAGGACAAAAGTTTTAACCTGGCAACCAGATTATAAATGGTAAATGTTCTGTTTTATCATACATTCCATGTGTAGCTTTTGAGTAGATTTCATATCATCTTTTCATTCTTTAAAATGTGTTACCATTTTATATCTTTTCTTCGTTATGAGACCTCTTTGCTTTTGATGTGCATGCTGCTAAATTCAATGCTTTTGTTGATAAATCCATGTTTTCTGTTTACATGCAGTATTATTAAACTCAGTGTCAATGGGCTTTTGCAAGAAAAAGAAAATAATTAATAGGCAAATCCATTGTATCGTTTTATTGTTTTTTCTTGATGTTTTTACTGGAAATATTTCTGCTGCATTTTGTGTTGAAATGATTTATTTTTAATAAAATAATGTACAGGATTGTTAACTGTGTTGCTTTTGGAATGAATATCAACATAATTATTAATACACCTCTTAAAGTTTTATAATTGAATAAAACATTGTAGTTACAAGGCACACAAGGAAATTTAAATGTCGTGATTTATTCTAGTTTTAAATAAATATTAAAAAGCGAAATAATAGGTACTGTTATGGTGTGTTAATTTTATTGTTTATCACGCTCTTTCATTTCCTTTACAANAGAACTTTTGCAGATATATATTGGTTAATTTTCCGATTACGATTTCAACTTCTTCAGATTCAGGAATGCGCTCTAAAATTTTTGTCAGACAATTTTTTCCAGGCGTTTCCAAGTTTTCTTATGATTTTTTTTTACGAAAATATATGTATCGATCAGGCTAAAATGTTGTTAAAATTAAAACGAACCGCGAGTCACAAACAGTAAATCGTTTCCTACATAGTTAAATCAGTTTTGTATTATACTTTCCCTTCTTTAATGTACATATAAAAAGTATATGATGTAAACAACGTTATCATAAAACATAATGGCAGTTTTTAATAATTTTTTTTTAAGTGTTTCAATTGTGTAAATGGTCATTTCACAAAAAAAAACCAAAGAACAATGTTGGTTACCTTTTCACATTTTTGTAAAGATTGACACAACAAAACTCTTGTCCTTGAATCCTGGAAATTGGCACGATGGAACGTCTCAAACACAAGCAAAAGAAGAAATGTCAAATTACTATTTGACAAACTTTATTTAGAAGTGCCTTTTATATAGCATTCAATAAACGCAGTTCTTCGAAATTTCCACAAAATTCTTGAAGCCTTTTTTAACAAGTACCTACAGAACTCACAGGATAGCACTTTAAAATGTGTTTTTATTGATTTTTTTACCGGCAAAACAACGTAAAATACGTATCTTCCAAACGAAAATTAAAAGGTTTGACGGTAAAGCAAAAATTTTCCTTAATATGAATTTTTTCTTTTGATGGGAACGTCCTTGAATATATCCGTGAGCACTTAACATCGAAATGTGTATAATTTAAAACTTTCTATGCGAACTTATAAAAGTTTTGCAGTTGTTGTTTGGTATTACAATTGGTATTACATTCATTGCATACCTAAATAATTTTGGCTAATGGTTTAATCGTTAATGTCATTAACATAACTGAAGCTACAAGCCGAAAATATAAATTTATAAAATTAGATCCTCAACCTACATGATGTTAATTTGGAAGAAAATCGCCTCTACTGCCAGGAAACTAAAGTAAACAAACATCTACAAACTTATTTTAATAGAATTCAGCTTACAATGCGTTTAGTTTTGGTTTATAAAAACTTATTTACGTTTAGGCATCTAATTTGTAATGTAAAAGCAGAAGATATTTAAAATAATCAATCGTTGTGTGATATAATTTTAGACAGAAGACAAAATTCAAATATCAAACGATTGTTTTCGGCTGTTGTTTCTCCATTAGAATAATAAATGTGTGTTTGGATATGTTGCAATTTTATCAATTACCTCATTTCCTCTAACATGTTATTCAAACTCTAATCAATTAGTTAGCTATTTTGTGGGTAGATTATGAATAAATGATAAATAGAGATGGACAGAGCATGAGTATTCTTCAATTTATATTTTTTCAATATAAGACCTATTAAAAATTTATTAAAAATGAATGTTTTATTGCAATATCCAAACGACAATTTAGTAAGGTACGGCGAAATGTGTCAACATCTTTAGCATTAAACATGGACCATATCTGACTTTTGTTCAAATTCCTAATAAATCCCATATCGGTATAATGCGAAAGTAGCAAAAGTTGAAGTTCGAATCTTACGAAAGGACATTCGGTTTAATTACCCTGACCTCTACGTAATCGAATCATATAAAAAAATAGAAGCGGTTACTGACTTTTTGAATGCTTCCGTAATGATAAATTTCAGGAAAATGGAAGAAAGGCGTTAAAATTGTTGCTGACCTTCGTCGAAACGAACCCCAAATTCCGCGTCAATGAAAAGTTCAGAGACATTTTAACCCGAGGGGCGAGGGCCAGCTAATACATTCAATTCACGACCAACGAAAAATCATTTTAGAAATCGTTCTGTAAGATGTTTGACCAACTTATTTCACCCTTAAAAAACATTCTAAATTGATTCAGCTCATTTTTTTTTTAATTAACGATTTACAATTTTTGCGTATTTTGTGTAATTGATATTATTATTGTCACCCTTCCATTTTGCGTAAGATCAACTATCTATTTCAGCCGAATATGATTTGCTGGGCTTCAGCTTTAATGCTTCATGCTTAAAATTGCGCCTTCAGGACTTAGAAGCACTGTAATGCAAGCCCATTCATAAATAAGTAATTGCTAGGATTTGGTAAAGAAGTTACTTTATAAAAGTGCTCTGCAATTTGTAATTCATAGGGATTCAAGCTCTCTGAATGTGCTTGAAGCACTTTCAAAGTGTTTGGGGATTTGAAAGTCGAAGTCCTTGGACTTTAAAATGTAACTGGGGCTAAAGTATCTACTTTAAGTAAGGGCTTTCTGTATCGTTCAAAGTGTTTCAATTCCAAAAAAAGGAAAGCATGGTAATCAGAAATATGATTGATTTATTTGAAATGCTTGCATTTAAAATGCAAATACAAAATAAAAAATACCTATTTTTATCTTATATTTAANTATGTGTATAACTTAATGTAGGCGATGGTGCTTTTGAATAATTCTTATTAAAATCTTTATTCTTTTTATGTAATTATTGGCCGTTTACTTTATTCACAATATAAACAAGACTATTGGGATCCCTGTACAGAATGACCTATACGTGGATAAGTACCACACTGTAGTAAATTGAACTACACGTCAAACTGATTATTATACACTTAATTTGAGTTTCATAGGATGATGAGAACATGGCCAAAATAAGGTCTAAAGTTCAATGAGAACATTTTTAACGAAACGGTAATAAGTTACAATATTAAAACCACTGATGATGGTTTTAGATGATCATCATGGTACCTTTAATGAGTATCAAACAATCATTATCGTCATTCGTGCACTTTCTCCCTCTGTACAGGCTAATTTCTGTAGTCTTTTTTTATTACATTGCTAGAATCTAACAGTAGATCATAAGAGCTGTTTTTGTGCGTGCTGTTTATAAATATTTTTGAAATCATGAATTACAAGTCCGGAATAGGTATCCTTTACTATCATTATAGTGCTACTGGATTTATTTTAACCATTAATGTCTATATTTTGGACCAGAACATATACGTTTAAAATCTAGTCAATTCAGAATTGGCCTATAATTTCTTAATCTTTTTTTTATTGTATACTTACGTTTTTCTGAAAAAAAATTACAATCACCAAATTTTTATCTTATCTTTGTTGTTGTCATGTGTTATTGTTAATGGCGTTTGAAAAAAAAAACGCGTTATAATTATCTAATAAAAAAATTTACAATTGTTAAATTGATCGTTTTGTATCAATTTTAAATAATATTTTGTAATTTTTGCTGATTAATAAATTTAAACTTCGGGTGTTATTATGTGTTTTATTCATCAAACAGTTCCATTATGAATTTAATTTATAAGCAAAATATGATTTTTCATAAAATCGTGCTTTTAGTATGTAGTAAATAACACGTCTGCTGCTGTCAGTAAATTACTATACAATTCCTAATCAGCATAAAGTGACTTGTCAGTTATTTGTTTCTTTATTACCACTGTACGCACTTTACCAAAATCAACCATTGTGCAGGTCCAAAAGTGCAAAGAGTAAATCTTACATAACTATGTAAAATTACTATATTGTGATAATCCTTAAGTGTTAGACAATTCACAAACATCTCTATGTCTCCAAAAGACTAAATGATATTACTTCAAATGTATTCTTATTTCTGTTTCTCCAACTTGAAATATTTCAAATTCTCATAATTCACCTTTACTTCCTCCTTACGGATTAATTTTCAAAAAAACCTGGAAGAGGTTTAATTCTACAAGAGAGTTAAGATACACCGTTTTAAGTTTGTGGACTTTACAGTTTTGATTATTTATTAAAGAACATGACAGTGAGTGGTATTTGGTTAATGCAAATCTAGATAATAGTAAACTTCCTTGAAAAAGCTTAAACACTCACCCGGTTTGCTCTCAGCCATTTCTATGAATAAGGTTTAAGTAATTAATGAAGTAGAAATAACAGAATCAAAAATATGCCCATTAAACGAAGTTACAAGTTATTTTTACAAACTTTTATTAAGTCGTAAAAAATGAATTAAAAGAATAACATACATGGACTGTATAATTGACTAGCTAAAATTTCACTCATTCTTTTTTGGATTACTACACAGAAACAGTAATCGACAAAGAGACTCAGTTGGAAATAAATTACATTATCATAATATGTAAAGTCACATGAAGGTCACATTAAATGTCTGCAATTCCATTGGTTCGACTTTTATATCATGTAATTGGTGTGTAATTGAGTCACTTTCTAGATGAGTTCCTGTTAGACTCGTTTTCTGTAACGATTTGATACTTAATTGGACGAATTCACTGTTTTTCTCGATATCCGATGAGTTACACGAATATCTACTATTAACACCACATTCATAACTCTGCCGATGTAAAATTAGAAACGCACTAGAGGAAGGAAACTGTGGGAACACGAGATCTGGTTGTGATCTTAATGTTAACAAGTGTAGATCACATGGGAATTGTTTGTTAATTAATTTGATCGACGTTTCGGTTACTTTTTTGGAACCATTTTCAATTGTGAAAATATTTAAGGGGTAATTTAAGGCATTCGACAATTGGTTCGCAAATAAGGACGGTCTCGAATACTGTGTTTCTTTATTAACTGAGTTAACCTTTTCAAATTCTGGATTTCCATTTTGCCCATTGTCTACTTTGTTATCACTTGGGCCATCTTCATTTTCAAATCGCTTTGCATTTGTGCTTCTAACATATTCTTGATCTATATCTTCAAGCAATAGAAAGTATTTACTGAGAGTTTTCCGATTATCAACCACTCCTTCACCCATCCCCCTCGAATCATCATAAAGCGTTCTGCGATCGAGCATCACCTCTAAATAACCAGGTTGCCAACTTGCTGCTCCTTGGGCGTGATTAGTAAGTAAAGTCAATCTTACACGCTCATCTTGGATGTAGGCCATTGACGTAATGGGAAAATAATTTCCTTCAATTCCAATGCGTTCCACTTTAATTCGTTTCTGCATTTGAAAGCCGTTTAAATCGGAATAAAATTCAGGCGGATCTCCATTTTGTATACCAGATATTACTCTCATAAATAATTCCGTTTCTCTATTCCTCGGGGGTGTTTCAAAGTCTACTATATTCTCGATTGAAATTGCATCAGAAAGGCTTGAACTTTCAATGTGATAGATTCGTATTGTATGAATTAAAAAGGGCCCATAAATTACAGACAATTCACTTGATACAGGACCTGAAGTTATAATAATACTCTGCTGGTTTTTGTACTGTAGTAGAACATCTTTTTCATAATCAGGCTCACTTGGATCGGGCATAAATAGGTATGCACCAGAATGAAACTGTGCACTTTTGTATGCAGCAAACTGAATGCCACATTGTAGAATTTTTAGAGTTCGTTTGTTTGTTACTGTTTTCATAAAACCAGTGTAGCCATTAAAAAGAATTTTGAATTTGTGATTTTCCAGCTGAATGTCACCTGTTTGAGTATTTTTTATTTCAAAAATTGATTTAAAATATTCCGGACTGGAACTTTTCGCCTTAATTTCTTGTTCCAAGTTCTCATTTACACTTACTTTTAATTCTTGGTGACATTTATTGCAATAGATAACGGCCAATTTTTCTGAAGTATCTTCTGGTGTATGGGTCACATTATACAAATTGATACTCAAGGGTGGAAGAGTGGCAATAAATACAATCTCATATTCTGTATCCGAAATAATCATTTTAACGTTATTTTCGGAACTGTTCCAAACAGGGTTAATTTGATAAACTATTTCTTTGTTATCTTGATCATAAACTTTTACATGTGGACTTGTCACCCGCATCTGAACGAGATAGTCTTGGGTATGAGCTAACGAATTATACAAAACGATCTGTTTTGAATTGGCAGTCGCTACGTTAATAGGAATCTTTTTAGGTAGTTTCTCAAATGCGTCCCATTCGATATCCATTTGAACCAATTTTTGATTAGGATCGGTTTTTTGCTTTTCACCGAAAATAAGGGTCTGAATGGCATTTTGCTGAATATTCATTGTATATCGTATGCCTTCAAATAATTTCAATCCATAATCCCACATGACTATTGCTTTACTTGTTCCTGTAATAGCGTCATGATGCTGAAAGAGAGCTAAATTTCTTCGTGCTAAAACTAATCGCTCAAAATCTTGTTCCAGCAATTTTAAGTAAGAGGTGAGATTATTTTTCCTTGCATGGTTGAAAGCGATTGTATAAACTATCTCCGTCGCTCTTAGATACCCTTCTAATTCCCTATTGAGTATTTTCAAGTAAGGTCTAGTTGTAAAGTAACCTGACCAGTAAGCTGCACGACCTTCAGAAAAAATATCCGAGTAAACGAAGAAGTCACCTCTTAACGACGGGTATTGATCATATCTTTTCATAATTTCGTCAAAGTAGTCTTTTGGAGTTCCAAATACTATTTCAGCTTTGTACAAACGTTTATTACTATTTATATAATCCATCAACTGCTTGTAATTCGTATACTGCTGATCCCATTCCTGAAACACGTTATATCGAAAATCATCTCCAATGGGCATCAAAACGACATTGTGAGGAAATAACGATCCGGTTTTTGCGTACTGTTCTAACAATATTTCACTTTTCTCCTTTACATTTTCGTTAGTTATAAACTGGGCCTTAATTGTGTATTCTGTGTACTCGGATGGTACTTTACGAAAGTCGAAATTTACGCAAATGTAGGGATGAGGTCCACAACTGTGCTTGATAGAATAAATATCGAAAGGTTGATTATGGGTTAATAAACCGTCGTTAATACTACTAGGCGACCAACTAGGGATCCATTTAAAGTCTCCATATTGTTTCAGAGCAAGCCACTGTTTCCAAGCATAGTGTATTCGTTGAATTACTGTTCCTTTTAACTTTGATTTGGCAAGAATATACGGCTGAGTGCTACCGTGACCAAAAGGGTCAATTGACCAGCCTGTTTCAGGCTTTACATCTAAATTTCTAAGCAACCACTGATGACCTAAAAAACGAACAGTTTAGAATTGCATAATGGAAGCAATTTATAGGTGACTCATGTTTAAACTTGGCATTTATTAAAATCTGTAAAGAAATAAAAGTTGTAGATATGATAGTACGAAATACTAACCTTCTACAAGTTGATTTACCATTGCAAAAACGTGCGCATTAGCCTCGTCAGTCATGACCCATCCTCCTGTTGTTATCTCTAATCGACCAGATTTAACTAGGGACTTGAGCAACTTTTGCTTAATAGGATGTGCTGCTTCCCACCAAGCATCAAGAAATGCAACTTCTGACCAAATAAATGTTAAATTTTTGTGTTGGTGTAACTTTTGTACCATTAAATTAAGAATTTGTCGAGACTGAAGATTAAAATATTGTTCAAATGTTTTCAACCATCCTGGATCGTTGTGGGAATGAGGTACCAATATCACCTAGAGAATAAGAGATAAACAAAAATGGCAATTTAGGTTTTTTAAAACTTTAACAGCTCGTAATAATGCATTTATTAGTTTTTGACGTGACAACGTCTTATAATTCGATGGAACCGGCTGCACGCACGAAAAAATATGACTCATGCGGCGTTACCTCGCTCTGAGGCGTTCCATTTAAGGCTTGAAGTGCAAGCGAGAGCGCGGAACGAGCGACAAAGAGGCACAATCGGCCTCCGCGTTCNTCACTATCTCTATACCTATACCTACATACCATTTCATATAAAAATGATGATAATATATATGTACATTTTTAAGTACCTATGTACCTTATTAATAGAAAAGTGTTCTTACCTTAATTATTATATTGCTGGTGCATAGTCGACATTACAAAACATTAATTTAGTTTAGCGTTATAACAGAATAGTTCAATTACTAACTCTGAACCGTTTTTTAAGTGGTTAATTAGTACCAGTTCTAACCAGAACAAATGTAACTCGTAGTAAATGTTCTCAAGATTTATTTACACGTATTTCTGGTATTTCTTAACGTTTAGTTGAAGAAACTAAACCGAAAAAAATAAATTCAAAACGATTGTCCGACCTTCAATAAAGCACTTACATAAATATTTGTTAATTAAGTCGAAAAATAGTAAAACCCTTCATAGATTTTAAAGTATATCCAACTTAAGTCAGTATTTTTTACAGTACGTCGTCAATTAGTGAAACAGCCATTCAAGAAAAGAAAATCGTTCCTATAATCAAGAAAAGACTTTATCAACAAGCATCATTTGGAAGTGATGCAGAAAGAATGCATTGTGGAAGCAGTTCAGAAAGTATAGGACCATTTCCAGGTATTAGTTTTTCTTTAAAGATTTTGATAATTTTAATAATTATAAGTGACGATATTTGATTTTGCTTAGGGCGTACAAAAGTGAGTCCCGCTCCCGCAGTAATTCCAGAGGTTAACGGGGAACGCGAAATAAAAATAATTAAACCATCAAAAGATTACAAATTCAGGGGAGAACGGGTCGTACTTGTTACGAAAAATCATTCTCCGTTTTTAGTATGTTCCTTTATTCCATATTCGAAAAGCTATAAGTCAAGGTAAATATGCAGAAAAACGAAATATTTTTCGTATTGTCGAATTTATTTTTAGTTGTTATTTAATTATTGCAGGGCCGATGCAAGAAAGGAGGCCCATCGCAAACGTCACATATCTGGTTCGCGCCCCTTATCCGTAGGCGATGGTTTAGACCCCTTTGAAATGTTAGGCATCGAAAGAGCTCCAGATGATCAGGTATGAATACAAAATCATAATCAAGTTATATTAATAAAGTCCATGATAATATTTATTGTCATTAAGTTTTGTTGCCATATAAGGAAACGAATAACAGTAAACATAATGTGTAAAAGGAATAATTAACGAGTATACAATAGGTGTTATTTTATTTCACTTATTTAACAGTGGTGTGATAGGCTATTAAAAGGATGAAGTAATTACTACTGCGAAATACAGTAAACACTGGATAATGTGAACCGAGGAAAACAATAGTTTACGTTAACGAATGTTATATTTAATGTGTAATAAACTTTTATAATTAACAAAATAAACATGCATAAAAACGTAATTATAAACGTAGCTGAGGAATGAAACTTATATAATCCTAATTCGTTTCTATTAGCAAAGTTTTCTTCATAGTATACGGGGCCGAACATAATTAATAATAAGCTGCTCACATTATGCGAATTTTTGTTACGTGATGTTCACACTCTTGNCTAAACATACGAAGGGGGGGGGGGTACTTAAATTCAAACGGAGATTTTTTTGTCAATAAAAATTAATAACTGAGGTTTGTACATCTTTAAACAAAATATGGGATGTAGTTAATGTTTTATTTGTCCTGTAATAAACTTTTTTACTACCACCACATATTTTATGTTTAGTGTAGACACACTTACTGCAAAACTTATGACGAACAAGTCTACATCAGATTATGTTTTTAATTAATAAAGCGATCAGTTTTATTTATGATGAACTATTACGGTCGAAAATATTTCAAAATGAATAAATGGTTAGACACATATACTACTCCTGTGCGTTTGAAATTTTCGACAATTAAATACGAAATATTAAATGGTCATAAACATTAACAGTATCGTAACTAATGTTAAGTAGTCGTATAATTTGGTTTACAGTCGATTTTAATTGGCTAAACGTAAGCTGGACTAGAAGGGTGAGTATTACTTCGGGTCTGTTGCTTCTCATAAGATTAACTGCTTGACGTCAATCAAAATGTTATATGCATGGCATGCATGCAGATTACTCTTATGTAAATTCAACGAATTTATGAAATAACTGCAGAAAGTTTTATGTCTTCCTTTCTAGTATAATATATCCACATTAGCGTCAGTGTGTACTATTTTAGCAATACCCTTAATGCAAATAGCGCAGTTTGTAGTGGAAACAAACAACCACTTGTATAGGTAGGTAAATGTATATTTACAATCCAAGAAATAAAAGCAGTACGCATGGAGTACTTTGAGGATTCGGAAAATAACAACCACCACAGCCTTATATTTATTAAAGAAAATATCAATAAATATAGGTATTGTCCAAAGGTGCTAGCAAGAGCACAGAATACAAAAAATAAGCTCGCGTTCGTTCAAAGCAAACAATAATAATTGAACAAACTTATTTGAAAAGGTCTAAGTGAGCGAACAATTGAAACGAGTGACGTTAAATGCAGTAAAATTTTATAAGTGTAGTAGTACTGTAGGACGAACAAAAGCCTTAGCTCGCTTAGGCTAAATTCACTTTTACAGTCTAATACTAAACAAAATACAGTCGACTCTCGTTAATTCGAAACTCGAGGGACTCTTAAAATATTACGAATTGTGTTTGAAATATCAAATGGTTCGAAATTTTTGAGAGAAAATTAATATTTTCATTTCTCTCTTTTCTCTTTTTGAAATTTGTAAGCCACCCTTCACTTGCCGCGAAGTTTTGGTCTTTAGAGAAGACGCGAACTCTTTTACTTTTTCCTTTAACAAGTTTCCACTAATAGACACTTTTTGTCCTATACGCTGTCTTAATCAAATGACCAGGCTTTCTTCCAGACGAAGAAATTCACCTGTAGTAGTTCTTTTCCGTACTCCAGCAGTTTGAACAACATAAATTTTCTCCTAATCCTAACAAAAACAAAGGCTCCATGATACGATGATACAAGTTTGAACTTGCCTCAAAATGTACTTACAATCTTTCTGTCTCTTTCTCTCTGCAACTTTGAATTGACGAGTGTTTAACGCCGATGAGTTCGAATTAACGCGTCGTTTTGTTACGTAGCAATGATTTTTTCGTTCGAATTACCAAGTGCATAAAAATGTATTGATTTAGTTCGAAATATAAAGAGATTCTGTAGCGAACTCGTGATAACTTTGAATTATAGAAAGGTTCGAATTATCGCAGGTTTGAATTAACGAGAGTCGACTGTAATGAAGTATAGAACCTCCCATTGAAATACTACACAGACACACCCCTCTATTCTTTTATGAAATTCTGGTGAATTTTCCTATTTTCATCAAATTTTCTCTGCCACGTCACTTTTACAAATCCTGTCATGTACCGAAATTGTGCACTTCTCATAAAAATACATTTTAATTGTTTATTTAATATCCCTAAAATTATCTCCTCTTAGCCTTAAAGGATTTATTAAATACACGCCTCGTTATTTATCGAAATATCTCTTTCAATTATTTTTATATTTTATCCACCTCTTTAATGAAACATTTAACAATATCACTCCACAATTATTATTGTTTCGATCGAAGGGTCATCTTCAATGAAAGATTTAGATTAATTGATTTACACTTGTTTTAAGTCTCCTTTATATTATACATTTCACTGTCAGTAGTTAAATATGAAACAACCTTTAAATAAGAATATAGAAAAGTAAAGTTGTGTTTAATGATCCAATTTATGAATTTTATGCACTCTAAAAAAGCACATTAAATGTCGAAACAATTGTCTGGTAGTAACAATAGAAACTTTTTATAACACTACGATTTTATTTTTTTAATTATTGACGTTGTTGCATTTAAGTTTAAAAACTTTTCATAATCAGGAACTCTGGTTTGAAATTTATCAAATGTGAAACAAAAAATCGAAATTCAGTAAAAGCTTTAACTAACCAAATAGTAGAAAAATTACCAAAATTTTAAATAAAATCCTTACTAAAACCATACTATTCTATTTAATTCTGATACTGGGTTTAAGTAGGAGTAAGGACCTTCTTAAACATTCATTACGCTTACTGTCTTTCAGGGCTTCTTTTTAATATTAAATGGCTTGATGTACTTATTTGCTCAATCAAGTAGAAAAATCTTATTAAGTTAAATAAACATGTGCCAATTAATTTTCAAACAGTACATACTTGAACAAATAAAAATTCGTAGAGTTATTTTTCAAAATAGTTTAGCACTTGATCACTGACATATGCATATGTTAGACAATGGTTACAAATGCGTCGACCTATGCATTGTTGAAAACAGCAAGTACATTCAAGTGTCTTCTTCCGGTTTAACAGCAACCTTACAGTTAGTAGTTCACTTAAGACCCGCTTTATTGATTTTAATTTAATTTTCTCGAGCTTACATAATTTGCAAGTAAACAGGAACTTTTCCCTAACTTCTCCTGATTAGTTGAATTCTAACTGAAGAACGAGCGAGTAAATTTAATAAAGAAAATTACTTGCGTCATGCTACAATTTAAATTAATAATTTCGGATGGAAACGTATGTACATGTCAAGAGATTATACACATATTCGAAAGACAATATAACTCTGAAACTAATTTCATTTTCACGTCTTAAAATTATTATTCAAATTCCTTTTTGTATTATAAAAGACACTAAACAGGTAACTAAGCAACTTGAGTGAACTTAATTAACCTTTAAAAACTATAAAAATATCGTATATATCGAATAGTTTGGTGAAGCAGGACAATCCCCTCCAGGAGAGTCCTAAAACGGCCTGAGGTAGAGGGGTTTTAGTCGGTAGGTCCGAGGACTTCTTCCTCGGGAATCCGACACTACCCAGTCGTACGGACGGCTGGGTGTCTTCTGAAGATTTCCCCTCTTCCACGAAAACATAAAAAAAACCTCTAGGAGACCAGAAATATCCTTACATGACATTCAACAAAGTTGAACTGTACAAGCTCTCAACATTCTAGCAACCTAAACCGAGACAGTCTTGTTCTGGACCTCTGACCACAGTGACCCAAAAGGAGACAAGTCTAAAAAGTCCAGAATTACGCAAGGGCTAGGAAATACAATCAATATATAGATCTATAATCTGCAAATTTAGAAGAACAATTTTCAGCCTTGGCAGGAAGAAAGTCAAGGCTGTCACACTGTAGAAGCGGAAGACATCACTGCCAACGATGCTCAAATGTTACTCTCCTTATGGGAAACTTCCTTTGAAGAATAACCGAAACCTATAACTAAAAGCGATAAGCTAAGGCAGTGGTTTCCAACCTGTGGGGCGCGAGACTGTTGCANAAATAATCTCATTCGTTATAAATCGCAGTGCTACCAAACAATGAGAAAACATTTACACACAAAAAAAAAATTAAAAACCTTTCTCCATTTGTTTAACAGACTCCGGAAACATTAAAAAAAATTGTTGACGCTACTGTTTGAATTGAAAACACTTACCTGAAAGTCAAAATTATTAAAAACATCTACAGTGTTAATGTCAGCATCCGAATTTAATAAGGCAGTACACGTGCCTTTGTTTGAAGGATCATTTAATTCATTGTCTACTTTATCGTTGCTGCTGACAGCACTCTGATGAAATAGTTGTACCCCAATTTGGGGCTCTTCTTCTGGCATCACTTCATTCCTTTGACTTACATCGTCGGTAACGTGATTGGCATAGTAAAGGCAAACAATGATGGTAAAAACCACCGCGGAAGCCACAAATGTCTTTGGTGTAAACCTCAAGGTTTTCTTATACATTTTGGTAATTTAATAGTTTTTCTTTCATCTGAGGCTCGAGAGGCTTTTTTTGTTTACAAAATAATTCCTTTCGCAAAATGTGTTTAGAAAGGTGGTAATGTCGGTTCCAAAGAGACAGCTCCAATAATTTATTTTTCTTTTACGGCGTGTCCAATTCATGTCTGAAACAAAAACAAAACTTTCTAAACGGGTAATTACTTCAGTTATTGATGAATAATTTATCCAAAAAGGAAATAATCTAATGCGATTACTTTATTGACCTTAGATACAAACAAGTCATTACACAATTTTTTATTCAGTTATCGTCCAATACAGTTACCATACACAGGGTGTCCTCTAAAAAGTGGATAACTTCTAAACTACCTCCAGAAAACCGAATTTTATGTTTCTAGTTATGGATTTTGTTAAATCAGACACTACGGCCACAAAAATAGCATTTTTAAATAAAATTTGAAATGCTCTAGTTTTAGGGAAGTGCGCAGATTAGCTAAGAATACGAAACAGTGGAGATGCTTGTCCGACCAGTCTTAGGACTGATGACCCTATGATGAAGATGATGATAATATTTTTAGTTGTTGTGCTTATGTTATTATTCGTGCTTCAGAATTTATAATAAGTGGCTAATGAGGGTGCTGTTTTTCAGTTGTTTGATGTTTTCTTTCTTCGCTTTTCAACTACAGCCTGCAATTAGTTTTTTCTTAATTGACGATTCTTAATTCAGGTTGTATTCAGCAATAAAAAAAAATGATACTCTGTACAAATTATACGTGTAAGCAACATCCATCAGCTCTCATTAGTGGCCAAAACAATATCTGTTTGCTTGTTCTTTTATTTCGGATCCTTCGAAGAATGTTTTAAATACAACTCGCCATACGTACGTAAGCAATTTTCCGAAGAATTTTCGGACCAAGTATAAAAAGATTTTACCCTCATACCAAAACTTCATATATCGTACCAACAACGTCTAATTTGCTTCTGCGAGCTACGACAACATAATGATTACAATGGAACGACGATGAACATTCATGGAGTAGGTAGATGCCCCGTTCTGTTTCTTGCAATTCCTGTGTGTTGTCATCCAGTGCGGTATGGTCACTGCCTGACTGCCTACCATCATGGTAGTTTCGATCGTGTTCATTATTACGACGCTGTCGGCGATGCTTTGAATAATTGTCATACTGCAGACAATGGCCATTGTTGTTGTGTTGTTCGTATTTCGGCAGATCATCTGCTGGTTATTATCAACTCCAAAACTTTTTTTCTCTCTTGCAAGACCATTACTTTTACGGATTCCTAAATCATGTCCAAGTAGCTGAGGATGCTAAAAATGCTCGATTCGTAATTTCGATACAGTCGATTTCATTTATTACGACCTTGGTTATACCGATCATTTTAAGAATCTAGCGACTTCGGATGTAACGACGAGTTTAGATATAGCGACGGCTTTTATGAATCATTTCTAACAAACCCCGATTAATCCCATCCAGATATAGCGACCGGAGTAGATAAGTAAAACTACTACATTCACATCACTGTTTAAAAAAAGGCGGAAATCGTTTGAAAATTGAAAAATGGTGACAACTATACATTCATGTCTGTATATCTTTAACTTCCGGATATAACGACTAAATTACAGTAACCCCTTCGTCGTCGTTATATCAGAAATCTAGTGCATTTCTGTACGAGTAAAGACACTGTTGACCACAGTATAGAACTTTACCAGATATATATTGGTTAATTTTCCGATTACGATTTCAACTTCTTCAGATTCAGGAATGCGCTCTAAAATTTTTGTCAGACAATTTTTTCCAGGCGTTTCCAAGTTTTCTTATGATTTTTTTTTACGAAAATATATGTATCGATCAGGCTAAAATGTTGTTAAAATTAAAACGAACCGCGAGTCACAAACAGTAAATCGTTTCCTACATAGTTAAATCAGTTTTGTATTATACTTTCCCTTCTTTAATGTACATATAAAAAGTATATGATGTAAACAACGTTATCATAAAACATAATGGCAGTTTTTAATAATTTTTTTTTAAAGGGGGCGCAAGTACAAAAAGGTTGGAAACCACTGAGCTAAGGTATCATGCATGATTTCTGAGGCCCGTTTAAGCCCAAAACCCAAATGACAATAATAATAATAACATACCGATTTTACATATTTATGCATAAAAAAGTCTGTTAAAAATTATGTAATTCCATAATTGTATGCTTGCATGTTTGAAATAACCAATCAACCAAATATAACCGTTCAGCATCAGCAAATATCCAACCCAAATTAAAATTTTGAATAAACAAGCATATTTATACCTACATACATCTAGCGCGTCTACTGTCATGCATGCTAGCGATAATCATTCATAAACAAACAATTTTAATCGAAAATTTCATAATTGCATAAATAAAGATCCGTATTTGCTAATAACGACAAAATTATTTTGGTAGACAAACAAATTCCATTAAAATCTACTAAAATCAATTGTATTTTTCTAGCACAAACATGAATCATTTATCGTTTTTCTCTAAAAATTTAACTACCTCTGTCACTTTACACATAATTTTCTAATAATCGCAATCATTTGTTTAATTCAGGGTATATTACCAGGTTCAACTTGGCTTGGAAAAGATTTAGAACCTCAGCAATGAAATTGGACTTGCATTGAACTATAATTTATTACAATAACAACTCTGATTTTACACCAATATATAACTTTTACAACCATCTTGTTGGCTTTATGGACTTTCGACCGAAAGCTCACCACCTTATTTATTTCTTTCTTCAGCTTTCGCTCTCGTATTTATTGAAGCGTCTCAAGTCCTTTTTTGGCGATCGAAATTCTATAATATAGTAATATAGACCACTATGCATGCAACTAAATTTATTGTATAATATACATATTACGAACGACCTCCTTTCGAATATATCTATTTTTGTTAACGAGAACACTTGAAGGAATGTCCTTTCGCGACAGTACGTTGACCTAGATAATTCAGTGGATGAAAAATTTGGTAAAAATATCAAATTTATACCGTAACACCGTGACTCTATGCAAAAACGATTTAAAAACGTTTACCATGGCCTAGATAATAAAATGGCATCTATATTTCAAACCAAGTGCTGTGAATGCGGAAATTGATCAAAAACTTATACCCGAAGAATATAAGAACAAAGTCTTTCACGGCCGGAATGCATAATAGAATGAAGATTCGGGCTATAGGGCCGTTGTTCGACAGAAAGCCTTTGTTCTTATATTCTTCGGGTATAAGTTTTTGATCAATTTCCGTATTCACAGCACTTGGTTTGAAATATAGATGCCATTTTATTATCTAGGCCACGGCCCTATAGTCCGAATCTTCATTCTACTATTATACCCGAAACTTCCAAATATCGTTCTTGTTATTGAAAAATAATAAAAATTCATGCCTTGTCTTGCTCTTGTATACTAGATCTTAATCTGTTCAAATCTTGTCATAAGAAATCTTGAACTTGACGTTGAATATCTAAAGTATAAAAATTCAGATGGAAATAATATTAAAATATGAAAAAAATGCTCCAATAAAATTAATAGCGGGTATCTGNAAGAAGTGGCCGATTTTAGGTATCTAGGAAGTCAGATAAGTCAGGACGGAAGGAGTAGTGGGGATATAAAGCGGAGGATAGCACAGGGTCGGGTCGCTTTCATTAAAAAGAAATCATTTCTATGCTCGCGAACGGTTAATTTAGAAATTCGAAAAAGATTGTTAAAGGTGTATGTTTGGAACACGGCGCTGTACGGGTGCGAAACATGGACAGTGAGCGCGGCAGAGAAGGAAAGGTTAGTAACATTCGAAATATAGTGAATGATGAGGATACCGTGGATAGAGAAGGTTAGAAATGAAGATTAGAAAGAATAGGAGAACAGAGGACTCTATGAAAATAAGTCAATAAAAAAATAGGCGAGATAGGTTAGTAAGATACCTTCTCAGGCACGAAGGTCTATTCAGAGACATATTAGAGGCAGAAATGGAAGTTAGGAGGGGTAGAAGTAAACCTAGATTAGATTACTGTTCGCAAATAGCTAAGGATGTGGATTCTTCTGGTTTTAGGAAAATGCGAAGATTAGCTCAAGATATGGGTAGAGTGGAGGTGCGTGTTCAACCAACGTTAGGACTGACGACCTTGTCCAATTTCTGTTTAGTTAATAATTAACAAATTATTTCGATTTGTCTACTTCTCTTTTCTGCAGTAATAACAATAGAATTATTAACAAAAGCTAATTATCCCTTGTTAACCGTTGTTAATTACTTCATTCACTATCAGAACGAAAAACATAAACTGTATAAATTCTGGACAAAATTGTATTGTATCCGTAGAATATTTTTTGGATCCACCTATATCGACACTAAGAAGGTGTCAGCGTCAAGGTTCTTTAAAATCGACTTCTTTACAAACGATTAATTTTTATAAAATAATCTCATTCGCAGTGCTACCAAACAATGAGAAAACATTTACACACAAAAAAAAATTAAAAACCTTTCTCCATTTGTTTAACAGACTCCGGAAACATTAAAAAAAATTGTTGACGCTACTGTTTGAATTGAAAACACTTACCTGAAAGTCAAAATTATTAAAAACATCTACAGTGTTAATGTCAGCATCCGAATTTAATAAGGCAGTACACGTGCCTTTGTTTGAAGGATCATTTAATTCATTGTCTACTTTATCGTTGCTGCTGACAGCACTCTGATGAAATAGTTGTACCCCAATTTGGGGCTCTTCTTCTGGCATCACTTCATTCCTTTGACTTACATCGTCGGTAACGTGATTGGCATAGTAAAGGCAAACAATGATGGTAAAAACCACCGCGGAAGCCACAAATGTCTTTGGTGTAAACCTCAAGGTTTTCTTATACATTTTGGTAATTTAATAGTTTTTCTTTCATCTGAGGCTCGAGAGGCTTTTTTTGTTTACAAAATAATTCCTTTCGCAAAATGTGTTTAGAAAGGTGGTAATGTCGGTTCCAAAGAGACAGCTCCAATAATTTATTTTTCTTTTACGGCGTGTCCAATTCATGTCTGAAACAAAAACAAAACTTTCTAAACGGGTAATTACTTCAGTTATTGATGAATAATTTATCCAAAAAGGAAATAATCTAATGCGATTACTTTATTGACCTTAGATACAAACAAGTCATTACACAATTTTTTATTCAGTTATCGTCCAATACAGTTACCATACACAGGGTGTCCTCTAAAAAGTGGATAACTTCTAAACTACCTCCAGAAAACCGAATTTTATGTTTCTAGTTATGGATTTTGTTAAATCAGACACTACGGCCACAAAAATAGCATTTTTAAATAAAATTTGAAATGCTCTAGTTTTAGGGAAGTGCGCAGATTAGCTAAGAATACGAAACAGTGGAGATGCTTGTCCGACCAGTCTTAGGACTGATGACCCTATGATGAAGATGATGATAATATTTTTAGTTGTTGTGCTTATGTTATTATTCGTGCTTCAGAATTTATAATAAGTGGCTAATGAGGGTGCTGTTTTTCAGTTGTTTGATGTTTTCTTTCTTCGCTTTTCAACTACAGCCTGCAATTAGTTTTTTCTTAATTGACGATTCTTAATTCAGGTTGTATTCAGCAATAAAAAAAAATGATACTCTGTACAAATTATACGTGTAAGCAACATCCATCAGCTCTCATTAGTGGCCAAAACAATATCTGTTTGCTTGTTCTTTTATTTCGGATCCTTCGAAGAATGTTTTAAATACAACTCGCCATACGTACGTAAGCAATTTTCCGAAGAATTTTCGGACCAAGTATAAAAAGATTTTACCCTCATACCAAAACTTCATATATCGTACCAACAACGTCTAATTTGCTTCTGCGAGCTACGACAACATAATGATTACAATGGAACGACGATGAACATTCATGGAGTAGGTAGATGCCCCGTTCTGTTTCTTGCAATTCCTGTGTGTTGTCATCCAGTGCGGTATGGTCACTGCCTGACTGCCTACCATCATGGTAGTTTCGATCGTGTTCATTATTACGACGCTGTCGGCGATGCTTTGAATAATTGTCATACTGCAGACAATGGCCATTGTTGTTGTGTTGTTCGTATTTCGGCAGATCATCTGCTGGTTATTATCAACTCCAAAACTTTTTTTCTCTCTTGCAAGACCATTACTTTTACGGATTCCTAAATCATGTCCAAGTAGCTGAGGATGCTAAAAATGCTCGATTCGTAATTTCGATACAGTCGATTTCATTTATTACGACCTTGGTTATACCGATCATTTTAAGAATCTAGCGACTTCGGATGTAACGACGAGTTTAGATATAGCGACGGCTTTTATGAATCATTTCTAACAAACCCCGATTAATCCCATCCAGATATAGCGACCGGAGTAGATAAGTAAAACTACTACATTCACATCACTGTTTAAAAAAAGGCGGAAATCGTTTGAAAATTGAAAAATGGTGACAACTATACATTCATGTCTGTATATCTTTAACTTCCGGATATAACGACTAAATTACAGTAACCCCTTCGTCGTCGTTATATCAGAAATCTAGTGCATTTCTGTACGAGTAAAGACACTGTTGACCACAGTATAGAACTTTACCAGATATATATTGGTTAATTTTCCGATTACGATTTCAACTTCTTCAGATTCAGGAATGCGCTCTAAAATTTTTGTCAGACAATTTTTTCCAGGCGTTTCCAAGTTTTCTTATGATTTTTTTTTACGAAAATATATGTATCGATCAGGCTAAAATGTTGTTAAAATTAAAACGAACCGCGAGTCACAAACAGTAAATCGTTTCCTACATAGTTAAATCAGTTTTGTATTATACTTTCCCTTCTTTAATGTACATATAAAAAGTATATGATGTAAACAACGTTATCATAAAACATAATGGCAGTTTTTAATAATTTTTTTTTAAGTGTTTCAATTGTGTAAATGGTCATTTCACAAAAAAAAACCAAAGAACAATGTTGGTTACCTTTTCACAATTTTGTAAAGATTGACACAACAAAACTCTTGTCCTTGGATCCTGGAAATTGGCANATTTTAATTGCACAATTAGATATAACAAATATTTTATTTGCTCAGGCAATTTAAATATTGTCACGCTCAATTTGGTAACGGTGTCCTCACCATTTATGTTATATCGGTAATTGGTTAATTATTTATTTTAATTGCCTGATTTTAATGCAAATTTTGATTATTTTGGCGTGACTGGGGGTCAGGTACTTAGATGACAAGACAGGGAAGTTTTAAAACAATAACAACTTTATTATATATAAAATGCTAAAGGAAATTGAAATATGTTTTAAGGTCTAAAATGGTTTATTGAATTTCATTAAAATTTCACTGCGTGACAATATTTAAGATTCAAAACTATTTTTCCCCAGTAAGCACTAGGTCACAGTTCACTTTTAGTAGCTACCGCTTTTAGTATTCGATTTGTTACACGTGCATAGAAAAAGCAGAAAATTAATAAAACAAAAAATCGATTACAATTTTAATGAGAAGAGACAAAAACAAACATTCGGAACGGACCATTGAAAAATTTTATTAATTAATATAAAATAAAAATGTAAGTTGTATAAACCTATAAACTCTTTATTTCGTTAATTAAAATTATTGTTTGTAAGCAACACACAGGCATAACATCAAAACGTACGGCGAAGGTGACGTTTTAATGACCTTTTGTTTTCCAAGCAAACATTATACATGCATCAAAGTGTAAAACAAATGAATTTATTTCATTACAAATTACTCCAGAACAAGTAGATTAAATTAACAATGCTTTTAATCAGAAGGAAAAATCGGAAAGGAATGGTATGCTTGAATCCAGTATGCAGTTAAATTAGTTTCCCGGCGAAAGGTTTGCCACTGACCATCAAGATTTTAAGTAGAAACTAATTGGGCCCATGTTCGATCCAAATTAATGAACAAATGCAATACCAAATTGATTACTACACCCGGCTGGGGACGTAAATTCCCGTTATGGGTCTGTTTTAATTCTAACTCGTTCTTTTACCGAAGTAGAATAACCTTTTTTTTTGTAATTACTAATCAATATCGCGAACGGTTAATTTAGAAATTTGAAAAAGGTTGTTAAAGGTGTATGTTTGGAGCACGGCGTTGTACGGGTGCGAAACATGGACAGTGGGCGTGGCGGAAAAGAAAAGGTTAGAAGCGTTCGAAATGTCGTGTTATAGGCAGATGATGAGGATAAGATGGGTAGAAAAGGTTAGAAATGAAGAGGTATTGAAAAGAATAGGAGAACAGAGGACTCTATAGATGTCAATAAAAAATTGGCGAGATAGGTTGGCAGGACAGGCATGAAGGTCTAGTCAGAGACACATTAGAGGCAGAAACAAGAGTCAAGAGGAATAGAGGTAGACCTAGATTAGATTACTATTCGCAAATAGTTAAGGATGTGGGCTGTTCTAGTTTTAGGGAAATGCGAAGTTTAGCTCAGGATAGGAAAGAGTGGAGGTACATGTCCAACCAGTCTTAGGACTGACGACCTTATGATGAAGATGATTAATCAATATCGATTTTCAGATGTAGTCGCTGTAAATACATCTAAAACAATATTTTTTGCAAAACAAAATCAAAATTGGTCGAGATTGACTGTTTTTATATCCTGATGGTATTTGTATAGGGAAATTATTGTAACGGGTTTGAAAACAAATCAAAATGTTCCCTGTCGCAGCAGATTGCCAAAGGTGTCAGTACGAAGTATCTCAGGTCAATGTAAATCTTTTTAATATATGTTTATTGTTTATATATGCTTTTGCCTGTTTCTTTTTTTTTAAATAAATTGTACAGTATAGGACATCGAGTGATTAAAAGCTTAGACTTGTGAGATTGTATCTTTTTCTGTCTGTCGACATACATGTGAAAAATTAATCATAATTTCCAGATCCATAGCTCATGACAGTGAACGCATTATGGTCAATGTGACCCGAAATTTTAACAAATTCGGTCAACTTATTATTTTGTTTAAACGTATTAAGTGAATTTTAAGATTTTTCAAAAAGATTTAGAGTGGTAATTAATAATCAGTATGTAAATTATTGTCAACAGGAGTATATGATACAGAGTAAAGAGCGATGTACCTACATGAATTGCAATCTTCATACAGCGAAGAAATTTACAATAGAAAATTCTATAGGCAGACAAATCAATGGCAAACAGATTCAAAGGAAATGCAAATTTATAAAACAACTAGTCTTAACCTATCCAAATTTGGACGGTATCATTGACGATCATTTAGATCCCATCATATGCTTAGATTTAGAAACTCATGATTTATCAAGTACATTTTATAAAATTCAATAAACATTAAAAAAAGTAATAAAAACGTAATTGCAACCAGTAAACAAATAGGTATTGAGAACAATTCTTTATTAAACCTAAACATTGTATTCCCACCATTAAATAAGGATCACAAACAACTAAATACTTATTTAATAACGTTCTGGTATAATTTATAATGTGTATAATCCGTATTGTGCTGTTATGCGAGTGAAGCTTTTGAATTATATCTTTAAAGGTCAGGAAACGTGTTTTTAGAGCCCATTTTCGGCAATCCAAAGTAATAATTTTCAGGTTCCTTCTAATATTGTTATATATTTAAATAATATTGAAGTATAATTCATCGTTGTATGACACTATTTAATTTAAACACACAGTTGATCTAATCTAAACAATATTCGTCATACACACACTAACATAAGGGGATAATTTAAAAACAAAGGTACATTTCTTTCGTTAACATTCAAAGTATAATACGTTAAATAAAGTTATTAATATTTTTTATTGCCGGATAATTCAAGAAACTAGGTAGGTACTATTCTACTTCAATGAACACAAAAAAATGATTTAAAATTTGCCATTATAACGATCTACCTACTGGTCACCATTTATCCAAAATCTGAACAAAAGAGCTTTTGTGTATGAACTTTAAGGAGGACGTAAGAAAAAAGTAGCAGTTATTGTTATTTACCTATCGACTTAGACTTAATCAAAGTTTATTGTTGATTG